TTCAGTAAGGCTCCGGCGGCGAGGGTGGTCTCTCTCTCTCTCTCTCTCTCTCTCTCTCTCTCTCTCTCTCTCTCTCTCTCCTTGTCTTATGTAAGTGTGTTAAAGTTAAATTGTAAAGTGTCTTCAGTAAGCGTGTTGATAAAATATGTGTGTAAAGTAAGTATGTTAAAATAGCGTGTTAAGTAAATGTGCCTGAACTGTGTCGTGTATGTGTTAAGTGAGTGTGTTAAGAGATTAGTGTGTGTTAAGTGTGTGTGTTAAGAGATTAGTGTGTGTTAAGTGTACCCAGAACATCTTATCCTGTCGTTGTCTATACCTCAATTCTTCTCTCAACTCACTCTTCCTTCTTCTCTTCCCTCTCACCCTTCAATCTTCTTTCATTCACTCTTCCTTCTCTGTCGCTCTCATCATTAAATATTATCTCTCCCCCTTAAAGTAAGTGTGTGTGTGTGTGTGTGTGTGTGTGTGTGTGTGTGTCCTTCTTGTCTGGCTGTGTTGTCTGACTAGTTGCTTCAGTTCGGCCACCACTTTGTTGTTATCTCTCTCTCTCTCCCTCTCTCCTTCATGTTTTCACCCTTAGCGTTTTCCTCCTCCTCCCCTTTCTATCTACTGCTTCCCCCTCTCTCCCCAACACCACTTCTCCCTCTATTCCCCACCACCACCACCTCCTCTTCCCCCTTCTCCCCTCTCTCTCCCCCCTTCCCCTCCAGCAGCAGCGAGGCCCCAGCTGAGCCGCCCATAACTCACGCCGGCGGTTCAGGTCGTGCAAGTCCACTGAGACCACCAGAAGCCCAGTCCGACCATTTCCATAAATTGTGTCAGCGGTCAGCGTAAGAGGGCGGCCTGGAACACATGGGCCGCGTGCATTTGTTAGATTGGTTTTCCAGACACTCCAACGCCTTCCAGTTTCGTGTCAGGAGGGTCGTAGCTAGAATGACCCAATGGCTACCGGGCTCCAGGAATACAAGGAAGAGGGACTGGAAACTGAGAGAGAGAGGGGAGGGGGAGTGGGGAGTGGGATGGGATGAGTGGGTAGAGGGAAGGGAGTGGGATGGGAGGGTAGAGAGAAGGAGAGTAGAGGGATGGGTGGGGTGAGGGGAAGAGAGGAGAGGGATGAGAGGGATTGTTATATACGTGAAGACTGTGGCTCCTCTTTCTGGAATTATGATACGGCTGTTGCTTATTTATAGAGGGTGGTGTGGTTAGGTTAGGTTAGGTCACGTTAGGTTAGATTAGGTTAGGTGATGGTGTTTGGTTAGGTTAGGTTCGGTGATGGTGTTTGGCAGGCAGGAATAACATTGAGTGTGGAGGGACTTGCAACGCGCCTCCCAGCCCACCAGAGCACAGGAAAGGACACTCTAGTTTGCATAAAGATGAACTGTGTTGGAATTATTCGAGACAGCTGGGATGATTTTCATATTCGGCTTCCCGCGTCCGGAGTGTCGTAGATGGACCGGCCCCAATACTTTGAGAGTTTCTGGACCGTGAGAAGAAGTAGGAGAGTGTATTCTGTAAAGAGGGCTGTGAGAGATAGCTGCTGCTGCTGTGTGTGTGAACCCTTTGTTTATATGAATCCTGTTAACATGGGTCCTGGCCACCTATCTCGTTACATGGTGGCCACCTGCTGTTATTTACATGGCCACCATCTCATCTATCTCGTTATTTACCTGGCCACCTATCTCGTTATTTACCTGGCCACCTATCTCGTTATTTACCTGGCCACCTATCTCGTTATTTACCTGGCCACCTATCTCGTGATTTACCAGGCCACCTATCTCGTTATTTACCTGGCCACCTATCTCGTTATTTACCTGGCCACCTATCTCGTTATTTACCTGGCCACCTATCTCCTTCATTATCTCGCGGCGTTTCAGTAACGTTCTTATTGGGAGACAGACAGACAGACAGACAGACAGACAGACAGACAGAGAGTATTCTAATATGTATAACCTGCCCTATGATGAGTGACCTACCCTATGAGTGACCTACCTTATGCTGAGTGACCTTTCCTGTGAGTGACCTACCCTACCGAGGTGTATAGTATAAGGCAAAAAATAAGTAGAGTGTAGATTGAGAGTAGACAGTAGATTATGGATGAGTTGAAAGTAGATTAGTCGGATTTAGGAATGATAGAAGATAGATTAAGGGGTAGAAGTAGACTAGCGGAGTTAGAGAGTGGTAGAGAGTAGTTTGAGGATGGAGTAGAATAAGTAGATAAGATGGAAGTTAAGGAGGATAAAAGAGTAGATTATTGATGGTTGAGGGAAGGTAGACTATTGAGCTGTGGGTCTTGGAAGGTAGATGACTGGAGGTAGAGAGAGAGAGAGAGAGAGAGAGAGATGATGATGATGATGATGATGATGATGATATCGTACACAAGGAGAAAAAAATAATGATGGCATAAGGAGATTGAATAATGATTGTGTGAGGGAGGAAGGAGGAAGGAAGAATTGTGTGAGGGAGGAAGGAGGAAGGAAGAATTGCGTGAGGGAGGAAGAAGTGAGGGAAGGAATAAAATTGAGGTGAGGGGAGGAGGTGAAGTGAAGGGAGGGGAAGTGAAGGGAGGGGAATGAAGGAAGACAGAGGAGAGGTGAGGGAGAGAAGGAGTAAAGTTAGGAGAGGAGAAAAGAGGAAGATGCAAGGGGAGGGGAGATAGAAGTGAGGGGAGGAGAGGGGAGGGGAGCGGGGCAGGTGACGCGGGGACGACACTAATGTGGATGAATGTGGCTCGGTGGCCCCTGGCGTTCTCTTGATTACCTCCCTCTCCAGCCTCCTGAGGGGGTACACCACCTCACGCTGGCTGGACACTGCCCTTTGTTTTCTGCCCACCACCACCACTAGCAGGTCGCCACTACCACCACCACTAACAGGTCGCCACTATCACCACCACTACTACTGCCACCACTACTACTGCCACCACCACTACTACTGCCACTACTACTACTGCCACCATCAGGCCGCCCCACACCACCTGGAGGAGGGGCCAGGTAGGGGCAGCATCAGCGACCCTAGTTGATTAGAGAGTCAAGGAAGGAGGATGACACACACACACACACACACACACACACACACACACACACACACACACAGAGGCAGGAAGGTGAGGCGTAAGGAGGAGGAGCAAGGGAAGGGAAGATGGGGAGAAGGAAGAGGGGAGGAGGAAGGGAAGAAGAAGAGGAGGAGGAGGGTGGGAAACGAAGGAAGAGGAGGATGGAAAGAAGGAGCAAAGAAAGGAAGATGGAAGGGAAGAAAGAAAGAAGAGGAGGAGGGAGAGGAGAAGTTAGGGTGAAGGAAGGAGGGGAGGGAAGGGAAGGAAGAGGAGATAAAAAAGGAAGAGGTAAAAGGAGTGAAGGACGAAGGGGAGGGGAATGAGGACTAGGGTTAGA